AGTGACTGGGCTGGAATGGTCAGGTGGATTCTGGAAAGGATAGAAACAGATGAGTGTATTACACAAACTGAGAGGAACATGAAAAGAAACAAGTAATACATATTTATAGGATAACAATTTGTTCCTGTCCTTCATTTTCAATTTTGACTTCGGCATTTAAATCTGCTGTTAAAAGCTCCAAGCTCTTACCTGTTGAAAGTGATCCTGCATAAGGCCTCTTCCTGTCCCTGGCCACGGCTTCTTTTGGAGGCTTGTACAGAAGACTCAAGTCAGCCTCTTTGAGCTCTACCAGCTCTTTGGGGAATTCTAAACTGGTCACCACTTCTTCAAGGAGAGCTTAAAAACATACGTGGGTAGGCTGAAAAGTAATGCACACATGCTTGTAGAGCACGAAAAAAAACAAATAGCAAGATCGGGCAAAAAGTACATTAAAGTACAATTCTTAAGTTTCAAAAGCATATATTTATTTTTCAACATAGTCACCGTTAAGGCTAACACATTTCTCCCAATGTGTAACAAGTTTTTTCATTCTGTCGCTGAAAAATTCTTCCGACTTTTCTCGAATCCAGGACTTGACAGCTGCCTTCACCTCATCGTCCGAGGTGTAATGATTACCCTTGAGGTCTCTCTTGAGTAGAGGAAAAAATAAAAATCACAAAGTGCAAGATCGGAATAAGGAGGGTGTGGAATCGGTTCAAACTTCAGGTTTCGCAGAGCCTCTTCAGTTGCATGCGAGGTGTGTGGACGAGCGTTGTCATGTTGCAAGATTATTGGCGCCCGGCTGCCTCTAACGTGACAAACTCGATGCCGGAGGTGTTGTAGAGTCTGTATGTACTGAGAAGAATTTACCGTCGCCCCTCGTTCCAGAAAAGCAGTCACATAAACTCGGTGAGCATCCCAAAACACAGTCAAAAGAAGTTTTTTGGCGGATGGTTGTGTTTTGAAGTTTTTCGCCTGAGGAGAAGACGGATGTCAATATTCAGCGCTCTGTCTTTTCTCATCCGGGTCGCAACGATGGACCCATGACTTGTCCCCCGTCACAATATTCAAAAGAAAGTCGTTTCCTTCGTCACCGTAGCGCTGCAAAAGTTGCTTGCAGCATTCCAATCGACGCTGTTTGTTCTCGTCTGTGAGACGGCGTGGTACCCATCATGCACAGATTTTACGGTATCCCAATTGTTCAATAATGAAGCCAACATGTTCCTTGGATATTCCAATATGGTTTGCGATACGCTTTTGAGTGATTCGCCGGTCATTTTGAATCAAATCATCGACAAGTTTGCGATGATTATCTTCTGTGGCAGTGATTGGATGTCCGCTGCATGTTTCATCAACAATTATGGCTTTTCGAGGCTCACAACCACGAAATTTTATTACCCATCGATTTACAGTAGACCTATCAACAGCATCGTCACCATAAACAGCCTTTAAACGACGAATCTCAGTAGGAGTCACTTTTTCAGCAGTTAAAAATTCGATAACAGCACGCTGTTTAACTCGTGTTGACATAGCACTAGAACACGTCTCCATACTTCCGCTTCTCGAAATACACTGGATGAACGCAATGACCTCAAACCTGCGCATGCGTATTGAGGGGGAATGTCACTTCCACATGACACCTGGTGCACTCCTGAAGGTCATTTCGTTCGCGCTCTGCAAGCATGTGTGCATTACTTTTCAGCCTGCCTACGTACAAACATCACTGCCATGTCATGTGTTAAAAGACACATTTATGAACCAACAAAAGTTTTCTTTTGTAGCAATCCTTCCACTTATTTGCTTTCTATCGGGTGAATAAAATACATGCATCCGTTACTGAAATCAGCATATTAATTTTCCCATACTAAAAGACGTTTTTTCTTGTACTTCTTTTTTTGGCAGTTCTTTGAAAGAATACAAGGTTTCTGGCTGAAAATGAATTTAATTTCTTTATAGTTACTTGAGGTATGTACTAAATATCACCCACCATTTTGCGGCATATTGTCTGCTTTCTTCCAGCTGTACTAAATACATAATTTCTATGCAGACCTTAATTCCTCACAGTTTTGCGCATATCTATCAGGTAATTATCCATGTACTCCCCTCCATTCTCTGCACAAATTTACATTTTTCCACTGTAACAACTGTAGATAATTTCAAATAAAATTCTTATACAGGGTGCGGCAGCATAATTTGCTGATTTGAAGGGTCAGTAAAACAAAAGATGTTATAGGTATCATAATTATTTTTTCTCCATATTTACAACATTGAAAATTTATGTTTACTCTGTTTTAAAAATCGTATCCAACAAGTGGCGCCCCCCAGTGGCAATACACTGATTTGCCTGAATTCTGAAGTGTCGGTCGACTCTTTCCAGCATAGCGATGGGTATGTTGGCTATGGCTTGGGGAATATTCTCCTTCAGTTGAGCAAGGGTCCGTGGACGATCGGTGTACATGAGGGATTTCAGATACCCACATAAGAAATAGTCACAAGGGGCTATATCGGGTGAGCGCGCCGGCCACTGAAGATCGCCCCTCAAAGAAATCAGGTGTCCAAGGAAGTGTTCCAGCAAAACACAATTGCAGTTTGCGGTGCCGACGTCTGCTTGAATTTCGTCTTACAGGGAGATCCACTGTGATGCCAGTGCATTGACTGCTGCTTGGTTTCTGGGGTAATGTGTGCAATCCACATTTCACCGCCTGTGATGATCCGGTCCAGAAACTCGTCACTGTCATCAGGGTACTGCTGCAGAAATGTGAATGCTGACTCCATGCGCTTTGTTTTGTATTCTGGTGTCAGTTGCTTCAGCAGCCACCTGGCACACAATTTCCTGAACAACAGGTGCTCTGTGACAATTTCGTGCAACAAGGAGTGGGAAATCTGCAAGACATGACTGCAGAGTTCCGTAATTGTGACGCGACAATTCTCCATAAGGCGTTCCCGCACAAGCCCCATCAGGTCGTCTCTAATGATGGATGGCCGCCCACTGCGCTTTTCATCATGCACACTTTGTCGACCTGCTGAAAATTGTCTGCACCAGCGACGCACCATCTGCTTGCTCATAACGTTAGGCCCAAAGACCCGGCACAGCTGACGATGAATTTCGATCGGCACTATGCTCTATGCATTCAAAAACTTTATCACTGACCACAGTCTGTGGGAGCTGGAATAAGAGCCTCCATCTTCAACAGCTGCAACGATGCTACTGTGGGAATGCGGGAAATTCCGTTAGTGCATGCGCCATGCTACGTCATTGCTCTATCACGTATGTGCAGTCGTTTCGCGCAGTATAAGGTTTGCTAGCTGTGGGACAAGTGGGAAACTCAGTTGTGAGATGACTGAGTTTCATCACGCCCTCATAGTGGAAATTCACGAGTTCCACAGAATTTCAGACAGTTTATTATTCTATCTAACACGTGCCTATTCTTATCTACTAACTTCCTGTGGCATTCAGTTGAAGTACGATATCCCTCATTTAACTGAGCAAGTATGTTGACAACCTAGTAACTTCATTATCAGTGTGCAAAATCGACACTTCATGTTTCTTTACTCGTTCAGAAAGGTGCTTCAAATATTTAATACCTGATAATGTCCAGCTCCTATCCCACCAAATAGAACGCACACAAAACAAAAGAATGATTCTTTCTCTTGATTTACACTTAACCAGCTTTTCTTATCAAACCATGAAGATGAGAATGATCTTTTCTGCTCCTTTACACTTTGTTGTAGTTTAAAATCTTTTGGCTGATGAACACCAAGATTCTTTATGTGCAACTGTCCTAAATTCAGTGAAGGAAATGGGTGTCTTTAAAAGCGTGTCAGTTTTATTCATTTTATGGTCCACAGTATAACACACTCCAGTACACAATATAACCTTTAACCTTTCAGCGTCAGAAGGCATTTAAATCGCTACTGAACTCCAATCCCAGCGGCTATTTAACTAATTAAATCTGAGAATGCAGCACTTAACTTAAAGCGTAATAAATGGGGAAAAACTGGAGTTTTGTTTTTCATATTTTCACACGACATCCAGAGAAGTATATAGAATTAGAGTATTGATCCACACTACTATAAAATTATTTTTGGGGCAGTAAGCGTATAAAAATTATGAATAGTAGTATCGTATTACCTTAAAAATTCAGCTATGTGTGGTAGTCGCGGAAACACTCAATGCAGAGGCCCACACCACACGCATCACACCAGTACACTGTGTCCCTTCTCCTTCCACGCTTTTGACACACAACGAACTTCCTCTGTGTCTAGATTTCTTCACCATTGGAGGAATCTTGCTGATAAAATGTCGTTCTGTTAGACGGGGCACTGTGTTGTCTGATGGATGTGAACCCGGCACTTTATGTTCCACAGCACTCGCATGTTTCACAAACAGGCCCTCAATCAATTGAATTCTGAATGATAATTGCTGAATTCATATGCCTGTGTTACTCCTGTACACTATCATTGAATTCAGAATTGAGGCATTTAGGAGCCTGCGAAACAGCTTCATGTACCACTTATTCATGCGCTTCCTCTCGATCAAATAAGGGTGAAGCAGCTGGTCCTTCAAATTGACCCCTCCCATTGACTTATTGTAGTCCAATACTGAAACTGGTTTCGCCACCTCCTTGCCTCTAACTGTAACAGTCATGGTGTCGTGACTGATAGGTGGAGATCATGGTTAACTATTTTTTTGTCGAACCACTTTGTGACTGAANTGTGATCAAGGGGGAGTCAAGTTCTGTATCCTTGCCTGTATATACGATGAATGACCATAAATACCCCGTGGTGGAGTCACACAACTCGTAAGTTTTAATTCCAAATTTGGCTGCCTTCAGAGGGAGGTACTGTTTGAAAGACAGACGGCCTTTCCAAAGTGTCGTAGATTCATCAACTGAAATGTCCTGGTTTGGGAGACAGAATTCCTGAAATTTCTTATTGAGATGGAAAATTATTGGGTAAATTTTGAACACTTTTTTTGGTCCTTCAAAAGTGCTGATGTTTTCATTGTTGGCGAAATGCAATTATTTACATATTAGCTCCAGTCTGTCTCCTGTTATAATGTCTCTATATCCTGGCGTTGAAATTACTCCTTTTGTTGTAAAATAAGACTGAAGAGTTGGTTTCTGTACAATGCCCATGAGCATGAACAAACCCAAGACAACATAAATCTCTCCCTCTGTCACGGGTTTCCATGCCTTAGAATGCGACCTCGCTGATGGTTCACGCCCCCGTAGAAACTGCTCCGCGTATCTATTTGTTTCTGCAACTATGGTCTCAATAAGTTCCTTGTCGAAAAACAACTCGAAAATGTCCACAATTTCCGTTACATCTTTCGCAGGGCCTTGAGCTCCGGCACTGCCTGTGAAATGTTCTCTCTGACCCCTGTAGTTCTCCATATCCTCCCAAACGAATTCTTGATTTGCACTGTTATCTTCATCGCTGCCCTCATTTCCAGCAGCATCCATCAAGGCATGATCATCTAACTCGTTTTCAGAGTCAAAATCCGAATCTGGCAGACTTTGTTCCGAATCACTTTCAACCAAACACTGTATGTCCTCGTCACTCAACACACATGAACGTCTCTTGCTTGTTTCAGCCATGGCTGCTACATGCAAACTGCGTTAGCTATGTGGAACAAAAGGGAACCCCAAGGAATGCAAACAAGGCATTTGTTTATCATTTCCAACTGCTGT